TACCTATGAATGTCCATTTTGTATCTGTGTATTCAAAGTGGTTGGGATAGATATATAGTTGCATTCTCTTAATGAATAGAATGATGTGTTCTAATGGTGTTTGTAAATAGGATCACAAGTCCGCATCGTGTACAGCAATTAACCACTAAGAAGAATATATGCAGTGTATTATTTGTTGAAAGTGTACTTCCGATTTGATTTGAAACTGTCTCATTGCTATCTGTTTATGAATAAAAGTTTGAAAAAAAAATTCGATGAGGACAGATTTTTTTCAGTCCTTTGAATACATAAGTCTACTTTCATACCCACTTAGTTTTTTCTCTAATGTGGATTATGGTGCTATTTAATTTTATTTTTTCAGAGATAATTTTTTTGTATGTATATGCTTTAATGTTGTTTTCTTTACAATTAATTTTGGACATTTCATTTTTGTGTATCTTGGTATGGTTTTATTCAAATTTCAAGTGCAAAAGGTTTCTCGGAAATGTGTTGCTGTAATTTAACTAAATTCAGAAATTTTATATCTTTAAATGTTTATTGCCTACCCCATTCTACATTGAGAATTCTAATTATATGAATATAAGTTTATTGACTTTGGCACATATTGAACTATTATATGACTGATCTGTAAACTTCCTTCTTTGTGTTTATTCTAGAAAATTTTTATTGTTATATTCATTTAAGGTTGTAAATAATTTTTTACCATGTGCAATCTATTATTAATATTGTTATGTATTCATTTCAGAAATATTTTTTCTAAAATTCACATTGTCTACATGTTATATCTTTCATATTTCAATATTTGTCTACAATTTTTAATTTGCTATATAATCATTGTTATTATTAAAGATAATGAGTTGAAAATAAAGAAATAAATTTCTGTGTAAAATAAATAAATAAATAAATAGAAAAAGAAAAAAATTTTTTGATGTTCTTGCACCACTGAACTGAAAAAAAAAAATTGTCTGAACTGCAACCCCACCTGGCAGAACTGAAAGCATGATGTGATCAGAACGGACCAATATTTACTCCATGTAAGTTGGTATTTGAAGTCACAGCAATGTATCTATAAGCATTAGAGATATCACTCGATACAGAATCTAACCCTAAAATACATATAGTGGGGTGGTATCTAAGGAAACAAGTTTTTCTTCTTTCCTCTTCCTGGGCAACACGAGCAAGCCTGCAGAGTTTTCCTAGGTACAAATCACATCATCACTGTCCAAATGATTTAAACAACAGCGCTGACTCACCAGCCACACTGCAGCTGGTTTGATAAATAGTGCTATCAGTTAGGAATTTCACACAAAAGTGCAGTCCTCCAAATCTTAAGGCAGAAATCCAATTCTAAGTGAAAGCCAATAAAAATATTTCCTTTAGAAACTATTTTGTCTTATTCATAACATAATACTAAGTCAGAGAAACAAATTATCAGTTTGACTAGAAGAATATCTTGACTTGATTAGACAAATTATCGTACTTTATTTTTGATAGGGTCTTCCCAGATAGTCCAGGCTGTGCTAAATGCTCAGTTTTCCTCTGGCCTCAGCCTCCCAAGTACTGGGATTGCAGGAATGTGCCACCACACCCGGCTGAAAAGTTACCATAGGAGTTAAGACAAAGTAAATAAGTTACCACAAGTTTCATAGGGTCCATACAATCACCCCCTTGAAAGGCTTTCTGGGTCTAATCCTGAGGTTTCACAAGGTAGAAGGCATTGTTACGGCTTGTGTCTAGATGTGCCCCCAAAGCCTCATGCAATCCTAGGTGAGGCTTTGTAAAGGGGGCAGGATCTATAGTGTATGATGCTGGGATTGGTTCATGGTACGGTGTGAGGCTTCAGGGTGTAGCTAAGACATAAGGGACAGAAAGGGGCTTGGCCCTGGTCTCTTGTCCCTTCTGCCCACAGTGGATGGTTTCTCCTCTATGATGCCAACCTGCCTGGGAGCTGCATGACTAGACTGTGGTCCAAATAAACCTTTCCTCCTTTAGCTTTGGGTGATGGGTATTTTGGCTTAGCAATGAGAAAAGTAACCAACACAGCCACTCGTCAAAATTGTACTCCAATTCTTGAACACCTCTGTGGTCTAACTTCAGCAGCACTATCTGGAGTAGAGTTTCAAGATGATGTGCATAAGGCACATGCTCTGAGAAGGCACTGGCCTAACTAAGCCATGAGGACCTGAGATGGCAGTACAAGAAGGCTGCAGAGTTTGGGGGTCCAGGTGTGCTTTCTTTTTACTATTTACCATCTGTTCTTGGAGGAGAGGGCAACACTGTTCAATTTGTGTTTTCTGCTCTGGAGGTGAAAGTCATACCAACTAAATTAAACCACTTTAAAATGAACAATGCAATGGCATTTGGCACATGCCCAGCATTATGCAACTGCCATATCCACCTAGTTCCAGAGAGTTTTTTTATCCTAAAGAAACCTGTACCCACTAAGCAGCTGCTCTTTGGCTGTGGCAGGCACCAGTTTGACTGATCCATCCTGGGTATTTCCTGGGAGTGCAGCCACACACCAGCAGGCTGTGTCTGACCTCATTCATGCAGCACAATGGTTTGCAGGCTTTTGCAGCACTACAATGAGGGCTGGTGGAAGGCAGCTAGATCCTGGGGCACAAAAGCCTGCTTGCTGTGAGGAGGTGGAGCCTGCTGAGAGACAGCGCCCTGGGCTCAAGACCAGGAAAGGTCTCCTTCTCTCCCTTCCCTGCTCCCCGGTACCATGATGGGAACAACTTTCCTTTGCCAAGGCCTCCACCATGCTGCTTCTGTGTTTTAGCCCGGGGGACCTGCACAGGCCCTTCTGAAACTGTGAGCCCAAAGAAACTTCTGGCTTTTGAGTGGCATCTCAGTGACAAGACAAGTGGCTAGGACAAACCTGGAGAGCCCCCAGAGGACTGTGTCAAAGGCTCAGTCCCTGGCCTTGTACCCACGGCCATGCAGCCTGGGGGGGTGTCTTCCAGTTACTGTGGGTATGCCCATGAAGGGACAGCGAGAGCCTCTTCTCGTTTCTAGCCATGTGCTGAACAGCTCTGCTCTACAGTGAGCTTCTCAGTGCTGTGCTGCCGCACTACAGCCCCAGTGAGGGCCCAGGAAATCACGGACTAAACCTCCGAGACAAAGCCAAAACCTTTTCTCTTTATAGAGTGATTGTCTCAGGTGTCTGATGGAATTATGGTTATAGTGATGGAATGCTGACTAACACATCCATGTAACAGCATTTAGACTACAGTACTTCACTCATAGTAGGCATTCATTACTATTTACTTATCTATTACTGCTTTGATAAACATCCTAGTTGGTTTTACTATTTGGCTTTTATGAATAATGCGGCTATGAACAAGCTTGTGTATATGCAGTAACACTTTGGTTTATAATCTACTAAACTCAGAGGGAAAAAAGTAGGTGATCAAAGCAGACAGATGCATGAAGACGCACTCAGCATGGCCTCCTTGCATCACGTGAAAGCAGCTGTTCTGGGAAGAGGGCACTACTCTCAAGCAAAGCGGAGTAAAAACATGCCTGGTAAACTAGGTCCTAAACTTGAGTACAACTTCCTCTCTGACCTGTAAATCCAGCTCTTGTGCTGAAAGTGTGCTTAGAAAATAGGAGCAAGATGAAGTACGTTATATCCATGTATGAAAATGTCACAACAGAACCCACTGCAGAAGTAATATGAGCACATTAAAAAAAAAAAAAAATCAAATGACAAAAAATCCAGAGCTACAAGTGGTGGCACCTGGCAGCAGCTTGAGGGTGAGGCAGTAGGAGCAAAAGTTCATGCTGCTGGGCTACTTAAGGAGACCCTGGATGATCAGGCAAACGTCCTTCTTTTTGCACCTCTCTCTCTGTTCCTAGGAGGAAAGTTATATGCTTCAATGTGTGTTCTGCGGGAACACCAATGCAGCCCATGTGTCCACACTGCGGCATGTGTGACTGCCGGCCACCTTCATCTGTGAGCGAGCTCTGGCCCGTCAGGAAGTCACCACTACTGTGGGACTGTCCTGCTGTCTCTCTATAAAGAGGGTTGCTAATTAAATACATACATATTTTTGAAAATTAAAAGGAAAATCATGCAAATTGAAAAGATGAATATTTCCCAGATTTTCTACTGATGAAAACTTACAGGTAGTACTGTAATGATTTATATGCTTAACTTACAAAAATTGTAGAAAACCCATGGAATGGAAAGAAACGAACAAAAAAAGGCCACGAACAAAGCCAGAACAGTCTCTGGCAGGAACGCTCTAACCAGAAGGCATGGCGCTCTGATGTGCTTTCTAAGGAATACTCGGAAGCACAGAGCAGCACACTGTATTCCAAGAAATGAAACAAAGTCAAACCTATAGTTCTGAATGCTCGATAACAGAAAAGCAGTACTGATCTATTTTTTTTTCCTTTTATAAATGCTGATTTAAGTGTCTGTCTAGAAAATAAGAGCCTAACAGGATAAAGTTACTCTGAAATTCTAATTTTAAAAGACATTAGCATATAAACCAGAATGTCTTAGGAAACACATAAGGTTAAAATAATGCATGAAAAATTTGGGCACAGCTCTTCTAGGCTATTAATGGTAATATTTTCAAAATAAATTTCATTTCACTTTTGTCCTTTCACCAAAACAACAAAATTCTGAACATTGTAATCTGTGTAGTAGGTTATATGTAATATGTAATCTGTGTAATTTTAAAAAGCCTCCCAGACGTATGGTTTACAACAGTCTTTCAGAGCTTTTCTTTTTGGACTTAGCTGCACACACTTAGTCTTAGAAAGGGCAACTGTGACTACAGATCAGTCCCACCACAGATGCACTGCAGCCCATCTCTGGAGGGACTCGCTGCCAGGAGCCCTGCCCCAGACAGCACTGCTAGATGGTGCCCGAGCTCCCCATACCCAGATCGAAGTTGTTGGAGTTGAACAGGAATTCAGGTAAGTAGAAAAACTCTGGGATGAGCTCCTTTACATCTGCCATGTTGTGCTTGGAGGCTGAGTACCAGGCCTCACGCACGCTGTGGAACATTCGGTCTGCCAGGTCGAAGTGGCCACCCTGCGGGCAGAAGGAGAAGGGAGGCCGGCATCAGAGATGCACTCCCACCGTGCAGCTCCTGTCGTGCCGAGGTCTTGGAAACACGTAATATATCTGGAGACATTTCACTTTTTCATGATCCTATGTTAAGTGCATAAAATTTTAAATCAACACAGAAAGAAAATGAAATATTTTTCCAGTATACTTTATGAAGGATGCTCAAATTCAAACATAAAGAATTTAATAAGCCATTTAAAAATACATACATTTTTATGTATTTAGTACAGGGTCCACAGGGTCTCACAACACAGATCAGACTTGCAGTGATCCTCCTGTTTTTTAGCCTCCTGAGTGCTGGGACTACAGGCGGATGCCACCATGCCCAGTCTCAGGCACCTGTCTCAGTGTACCCTGGGGGTGGGGCCAGTATGGCACACTGGGCATCGAATCCTGGGTCCCTGAGTCTGCCTAAGCAGGCACATCAATCCACTGAGCTATCTGTCCAGCCCTTAAATATAAAAATTTTTGACAACAGGATAAGACTGTAAGGAAATAACACAGGAGAAGGCCCGAACCTGCCTGGCCCATTTCCTTCTCTTCTTCATCCCTATTCTAAACTGTCTCCCCCAGCACTGCAAGTTCCCATGCCCTTTCCCTGATCTGTTTCTCTTACACCTTTGATTACATTTTTAAAAAAACTTCAGAACTTGTAACATGGCTATCTCTCAACTAAAATCTATAAATTCTGCAGGACAGGGCTCTTATCTTTTCTCACGATGGCCTGTCAAGCTTAGATTAGTGCCTCGCACATACTTCAACAATGATTTGCTGAAGAGATCAAAGAGAACATGGGAAAATAGCAGAAGAGCTAGAGTGATCCCTTTTTTTCTTTAAACATTTGCTGAATTCAACAACCAGCTGGCACTAAAGTTCCCACATCTCGCTACAAAGTATACGCTGTTATTTATTTAACTAAAAACCCTATTTAGTCTACATGACTATGCCATACATCAATTGCGGTCGAACGACTTTCCACTCTAAATCTTTTTTTTTTTCTTTTTGGCGGAACCGGGGATTGAACTCAGGCTGTTGCGCTTGCCAGGGAAGTGCTTATTCCACTGAGCCATCTCCCCGGCCCTCTACTACTCTAAGTCTTGCAAGCCAAGACAGCAGCATTTTGAAGCAGTGATCTCTTAAATGAAAGGCACACTTCACTAGCACAGTCAGGTTCCAAATGTGGAGTTTTACCTGTAGCCTTAAGAATATCTGTGTGAAAGGCTCCATCCTCACGAGGTAGGAGGCCACAATCATTGCAGACGAGTAGTGGGTCCCATAGTGGTACGCTGGGGTTTCTCCTGTGCCAGACGCATGAAGCACCACAGAAGACAAGAGGGGAGATACAGAAATGTTTATGGGTTTGGAAAGGCTAGGAAGTACGACTCTTCTACCTGTGACACGCTAGCACTGCGGCAGGAAACCTCCCAGCGACACCACTGCCCCCCCTATATGTCTGGGGGCAATCCAAAGGAGTGACTCAGTGGAGTCAAAAGAATGAGCGCAGCACCTCCATCTGAATGGTGCTGGAGGCTGAGGAGAAGCAGCTAGCCCTTAGCTGCAAATCATGTTTGTGGAGCAGAGTGCTGACTGGCAGCTCCTTTGCACTAGGTCCTGGCTTTGCAATGATGTATTTCTCTAAACTGTTGTCTGTAATACATATTTAACATCTCCTCCTTGATGGAGGGAAGGGAGAAAGAGACCCATAAATAAAAACAGACCTGGAGACTACTTAGGCATTCAAACAGTAGTCTTAAATTTTTCCCCTTTGTTTCGCTTGTTTAGAAGGGCATGATAAACACCCAGCAGTATAAATAACATCATAACATCAAACATTATGCATAACACATTAACTGTTCAATCTAGGAAGGTAATCAATTCATTTTTTTTAAGCAAAAGGGTCTAAACAGTATCCTAATAAAATTAGAAAACAGCCAATAAATGAAAATGTAGGTTTTTGTTTGTTTGGTTTTTTTTTTTTTTTTTTTGCTGGCTCAGACAGCTCTGAGGCAGGGCTGGCATGGCATGTGGAGCCAGGGATCTAACCTGGGTTGCCTGCACCTGCCTAATCTTACCTAAGCAGATGCTTTAGATCGCTGAGCTATCATACTGGCCCCAAATATGTAGCTCTTAATATGATTAGAGATAAAGGCAAACGATACGGAATTTCTGTCTGTCAAAGGCAAAGTAGCCAGAACTCTAAACAGCAAGCTATGAATGTCTTCCATGCAAGGCCATCCACTGGAAAATGCAAATTCGGAATTTCTTCTCTAACAATCTGTATATAGTGAACACACATAACACACACACACACACAATGAAGTGTAAGTAACTTGAAGAAGTGTGTAACGGCATTCGACCACCAACTGACGGCTTGCAGAGCTCAGTGACAGTGCGAGGACTCACCGTTAGGGTCCTCCCAGTCTTTGTACCGCTTCTTGTACTGCGCTAATCGCTCATCTGTCTGTGCTCCCATGGGTTTAGCCAGGTTCCTGAAGGTCTTGGGGTTAGTAAGATCTACCTCCTAAAACAGAAAACAAGACTCAGGCTGGTTACTGGACACCCCATGTTCTGACTGACATGGACACAGTGGCCACTGGATGGTCGTGGCTTACAGCTGTGTCACATCTCTGCCTCACGCAGGCAGAGCCAGATGCCATCATTGCCGTGCGTCTGTTGCCTGCTCATACTTGAGGAAAACAAATTGTACGGGTAGTTTGCTAAAACTTCTGTGTGAAGACAGTGCTTTGGAACATATCTATTTCCCAGGAAGGGGAAAGTGTTTCCACGCCTGGTCCGGTACACAGCAGGCATTGGAGAACACAGAGCTTTAACTTTCTGTTACTGCCACCACCTACATCTCCTGGATGGAAGCTCCTGTTGGTGCCACACTCCCAGGATCGTTACAACTTCACTCCTGCACATTTCCTTAGGGACCGTCTGGGAGGGAAACAACTGAAGCGCTCAGTAGCTTTTTCATCCCCCAAACAACACAACACACCACTTTTTTTTTTTTTTTTTTTTTTTTTTTTTTTTTTGAGATAGGGTTTCTATGTAGCTTAGGGCTCAGGCTATTCTTGAATTCACTATGTAGTCCAGGCTGGCCTCAAATTCACAGCAATCTGCTTGCCTTAGCCTCTAGAGGCCTGGAATTACAGTAGTGCACCACTAGGCCCAGTGAAATAATAGCATACCAGATCAAGAGATTTGAAAATGAGATGGGTCTCATAGCTACAAGAGATTTCAAAGCTCATGTCTAGCTGACCTAGTTCATATATTTAGAAGGAAACCAAAATTTACTCCCTAAAGATTTTAAAAGTAGAAATTTAAAACATGGCATGGGATATAATGTCTGTTCTTTTATAGTGGAAAATGACTAATTTTGTATAGGAGAAACTAATCTTCAATTATGACTATAATTAAGTACATTTATTTATCCTTCAGGAATCCACCTCATGAAAAGAACATTTATACCAACAAACACTAAAGTGCCAGCAAAGTGCTATGCTCTTGGGTAAGAGCTGGGTGACATGTGATGAGCGCTCATGCTGGGACCTTGCAATTGAGCAGCATCAGACAAGGAGTAGCTATTTCTACACCATCCTCAAGGAGAACAGCCTGATTCAAAAAGGAGAAAAAGCACAGTGACATACAATGAGAAGACAGCGTGGGAAGAGAAGTAGACAGGAGAGAAAGGAAGGCTCCCATCGCAGAGTCCCTGTGATGTGCTGGAGCTCCTGGGGTACAAGAGCGGGAACTAGGGCATTTCAGGAAAGCAGTGCTGCAGGCATGAAGGTTTCACAGGCAGGGATTACTGAGGTTTGTTTTTAGTTTTGCAGTGCTGGGACTGAACTGAGGGCTTACCGTACACTAGGCAAGTGCTGTACCACTGAGCTACAAGCCTCAGCGCTGTACTGAGGTTTGGAAACTTTCCCACCAGATCTAGGGTTATTCACTGAGCAGAATTAAACAAACTGGCTGCAGTGCAGAGGGCAGTGAAGGGCACAGGCAAGGCGGGAGGCTGTTATGATGGCCAAGGAAAATGGTGCATTACAAAGGCAGCCTGCCTTGGCCGCTGGGCATGCCAGCAAGGGTGGGGTGTCAACTCCTGTGGCTGGCCACACAGTGAGGGCTGGGACTGCATCTGGAGAAGGAGGAAGAGTATGCAAGGTTTGGTAATGGGCCTGCGAGCTCCTGCAAGGCAGGTACTCCAGTACATATTCATACAGTTCCCGTCCTACAGAAATGCATTTTCTTTGGACTTTCCACCTGCAAATATCTGTCCTTGCTTTTTTACTTCTTGGTTAACTTAGAAGAAACATATTTTCATTTCATCAGCCTTTTCTGACATTCATGTCTCACTCAAATGTGCACCGCCTGCATATTAAGTGCACATGCAATCTATGGCTTAGAACCCTGAATACAGTTGATCACGCCCTTGCAGGCAGGGGAGAATTCTTTCATTACACTACTGGTTTTTGAGAAAAGAAACATTACCTTTTTAATGGAATGAATATGATTTCTGAGTTTTAAGAGTGTGTTATGGTTTGTGTCTAGTTGTCCCTCCAAAGCTTCATGCAGTCATTGGGGCAGGTTTCTAGAGTTTGCAATTAATTCATGAGCCAATGCTGGGATTATGAGAGTTAAGTGCTACACTTGCCCTGGGGCGGATAGCTTGAATACAATATAAGGGAGGGGAGAGGCTTCTTACCACCAGCCTCAGCCACTGATCCACCCCTTGCTCTTTGTAGTTTTCTGCCTCTATTAACAGCTGCCTTCTGCCATGTGCCACTCTGCCTTGGAGCCAGCGAGTATGGACTGAAACCTCCTCTAACTGAGAGCTTATTAAATAAACCTTTCTTTTCATACATTGTTTCTACACTTTTCTGCTGGATGGTAAGACCAAGATAAAGCAAGACCTATATAACAAAGAATGTAACTTTTGTATCTGACACGGTCAGTCAAGTCCCTTCAGGACTTATGCCAAAACCCTGTACCATACTTTGTAGATCCTTTGTCAGTGTCAGCTGTGTGGATGAGTCATATCCATTGCTTGACCAATTTGCTCTCTGTGAAAGCCTGAGAGAATGTTTTCTCTCCAGGTGACTCTCCTTAGGCACATACTACATCATCGATCACATTCCTCTGTGGCCCCATAATCTCCCTGATCAGAAAACCTGGGACACAACTGAGTTACATGATGTTATAGTACAGGTTCTCCTATGTCCTGAGTCCTCACTGACCTTGGAAGGCTAGGGCCAAAATGTTGGCTGTCCTTGCAGCCCTTCTTTTTCTCTAATCTTTGGTCTGCAAACTTAAGTTGTTAACCCTCCAGAAGAGAAGCTTATCATTGCCCTACAACATATGCAGGTGGGTTTGACTTCACTATCTGTCTGAATATCAAACATCTTAGGCATAAGATGGAACATCTTAAAAAAAAAAAAAAAGAAAGAAAGAAAGAAAGAAAAGAAAAACAAAGAAAAAAACATTTACTTGAGATGCAGTCTGGCCATAAATGTGAAGCCATGTTAATATGCTGAGCTGTGGAGGGCTTAAGTCATCAGATTTGGACATTGCCAGTCTTATGGATAACCCACTACTATTGTGGAGTACTGGATTATATTGGAATATTTTGCTGAATTTATGCACCTACAATATTTGGATGGCAATGGAATACCCAACTCTGACAAAACTGAACAAAAAAAGGTGAAATAAATGAAGGACAATTTTGTATCTGTATATACAAAATAGTTAAGATAGATATACAGCTACTTTCTCTTAATTCAATAAAAAAAAAAGACCTGTGCTAATAGTGTTTGGACAGGATATCATGTCTGCATCTTGTGCTATGAATGACTACTACAAAGACAACAATGTGCAATGTATTAATTGTTGTAACTCTCCTACCAACCTGCTTTGAAGCTGTCATACTGCAATTTTTTTTTCTCAATAAAATAAAAAAAAATTAAAAAAAAAAACTTTTCTTTCCTTAATTTTGGGTGTCAGGTATTTTGTCCCAGCAATGAAAGAAAATTAACCAAGACAGAGTGCTGCATCTTTTTTCCATTTGTTTACTTGTTCATCACAGGCCAAACAAGCTTCTTGTTTTGCCTCGTTGCTAACTCACCAGAACTAATTGGACCCTGGTAAGAGGAGGCCAAGGAAGAGCAGAAGGATGATACTTATGGATGCCTACTTACTACTCATTTGATCCCTAAGTCACATGCATGTCTTGGAAAAGGACAAAACATTCCTTTTATGTGGCCAGGATATTTTGTAGAAAGGTCATTTCACATTTTTCTAGCAAAAATTCAAACTAATCAGGTAGGTTCTGGCATCAACTAAAGGTCATAATTTAATTAGTACTTCAGGAAAGTGAACAGATATTATGAATTAATGCCCAGTATTCACTTACTGCGTCCATTTTAAAAACTTTTTCTATGTTTAAGCTAAAGTGCTTCCCATCTCCTTGAAATACTGTAAGTGTCTGTGCCTGTGGGGAGCCCAACTTACAAAGCAAATAAAATCTTGGGGTGACTGCAGTTAACTTCTGATTATCTCTGAAAATGCACTCTGCTCAGGGCAAAAGCTGTGTGATTTACCTCTGAGTCGTAATCTGCGAGGATCCAGGGAAAGACGGGATACTGCATGAGATCATTGTATGACCTGCCGGCCAGGGTGTTCAAGTGCATCAAATACTGGAAGTTGCTGATTTCTCCTCTCTTGGGGGAGATGAGACTCATTTTAGAACAACTGGTTATTTTCACTACATTCATTTAAAAAAATTATATGTATCTGAGGTAAAGAATGACTTCTTTTTAACAGACTTCAGAAGAAAACACTTTTCCCTAAAAACAACATAAAAATACATTTTCTCGAAGGTATATATTTTATGATTATGTAAATGGCTCTGACATACATGTCTGACCTACACATTACTAAGGGCGCTTATGTATTCATTAAGCTTACCTCCCATCTCTGAGTCACAGACTTCTCTCCAACCAAAGTACTAAGTAACCCAGATCTAAAACCAACACAGAATAAAGTAAGTGGCAGGCAATATAGTTTTACATCTAAGCAAAATTGATGTCAAATTGAGGACATAATTTAATTAAAGTATTGGGTTGAAAACTTTAAGTCACCAGTCCAGAAAATCTTAAAACTATGTAAGACTTATTAATGTATTATTAAATCATTTTGGTGGGCTGTGATCAGAATTTTTAAATATGAAATAACACAGAATTCAGATGAAGAAAAGAGAGAGCATCACAAGGTATCACACATACTAAAGTAAGTATTTTCTGTGAATTTTGTTTTAGTATTTATGGTGCAGGTTGTATGTCCTGGCATATAACATAGTAATGCAATAGATATGAGTGTAGGTCTTGGTCAGTAGAGTTGAAAAAATATCGATTCAGCTAAAGAATGTTTACTGTAGTGAACATATCCAAAGAGAGGTAGTAGGAGAATTGAAATATTATCAGTGTTTCATACATCATAGACTTATAGTACATTTTCAAAATAGTTACAAAGTAAGTTGCTAAAAATCATTGCCATCTAAGGTCATTTAAAATCTATGCACTACTTTTTGGATAGCAGACTGTCTTAGACTGCTATAAAATCCTAATTAAGGTTTACAGCTTTATAATACTGATAATTAATAATTGGTCAAGGAGTTTGAAGACAACTATATTATCTTTTAGGGTTTGCAAACGAACAGTTCAGTAATACAGACACCAAATTCTAGCTAAATTCTTTCAATCACGTGAACTAGTCATACAGGATTTTCTCCTTGGGAAAATAGATTACTCTATTAAGATTACTCTTCAGCTTTGATAGAGAGGGGGCAAGTGAAGAGGAAGAGGAAGTTGGGAAATGAATTTCTGCCTTTTGCTTTTGAGCTCTTAAAACTTTTTTTAAAACTGCCAACTTAGCTGAGAAGGTAGTAAGAAGGACAGTAGAACACCAAGGTCAGGGCGATCCAAGAAGGTAGAAAAGTAGGTGGACCAAGTAAGAAAAGGCTCAGTATGCTCTGTGGCAACTACTTCATGAACTATATTAACCACAACATGACTGGGAGTAGACACGTTTTGAGGTGAACAGAAAGTGTTCATCTAGTGTCCATTTAGCTAAGGCTAAAGAAAAATAAAGCAACTTAAAGAGAAATGTATCAGCTTAAATGTATTTTGATGTATACAGACTGGAATAAAGTTTCATTTACAAATTACTAAATCCCTAGCAAATTTTTATGTCACTTTCTTGCATGCAGTAGTCTTCAGTTTGAAGCCAAAAGCATTGCTGCAAAGGGCCCTTTGCCTGGCACTGTAAAGGGAAGCTCTATATGGCTTCTTGAAGGGAGCCTCACTAGGAGGGGGCTGCGGAGACAGCCAGGGGCTCCTGAGGAGGCACAAACAGAAGATTAAGTTTAAATGCAGAGAACAAAAGCGAAAGGAAAGCAGGGTAGTTTGTAACAAACAGGACAAGCCAGGAGTACTAAGAACCTTATGAGAGATGAATTCCCTACAAACAAAATAACTCAAAAGAAAAATGGGCAAAATATATGAGTAACTTACAAATACTGAGTTAAAATGGCCAAGGAACATATATGAGTAGCTTATTATCAGTGCAATATACACGTGGAAATGAGAAAGCTTCTTACAAATCAGTAAGATTACACAAAACTGGCAATACCTACTGTGATAAACTTTAATAATGGTGGTGGATTTTAAAAGTAATGATGCAATATAAGTTTGTATAATTTTATGGATGTCAAGTTGGCTTTGAGTACCAAGAATCTTAAAAATTATATATTTTATTTTACTAAGGAGACTGAACCCTAATAAAATACTAATGAATCACCTTTCCAATATTTTGACAGGAAAACCTGAGAGAAATGAACACCAAAGTGACTGCTTTATACATATAATATACTAGTAGCAAATAAAAGTTACGCTTCTCAAGAATTTTTTGAAGACTGGCAGATATTCAGCTAGAAGCAGAATAAAAGCTGGCAGTCACAGTATGGAGTCCACTGCATACTCAGCAACACACACATCTCAAAAAAGGCTAAAAAGTAGTTGGTCAAAGGTGAGCAGTAATTTGACATGTGAGAGAGATTCTGCACGCTTTGTGTTCTGCTTCCTTCTAGTTTCCAGTATTTTTCAAAAAACATGATGGAGAAAAATACTGATTAGAAATGCTATATAACTGCCCTTCTATATCTAACACTGTAATTCCACCACAATGCACAGAAACAAACCACCTACCCCTGCTCCACGCTGGTATTCGGCCGCTGTCCAGACACCGACTCTGAACTGTCTGTCAGGGATGGAACCACTGCCAAAAACCTGGGAAATAAAACAGCATAGAACTGGAGATGGGATCTCAGCCAGGTTCCAAGAGAAGACTATGAAAAGGCGGTTCACTGCGGTCTTCAGTGGCCCTCCCATCCCCAGACTATGAAAGGGCGGTTCACTGCGGTCTTCAGTGGCCCTCCCATCCCCAGCAAATGGCAGGCAGAGGAAATGAACATTGCTTGAGGACACCCAGTATGAAGGTTGCTGGAGGAGTCCACCATGCTGGACTCTGACCCACGCCCTTGCAATACCACAAAGAAAAGAACAGGCTTGCAGTTCTAACTTATAGGAGAACTCCTAGAATGGAGGTAGATGATGACATTTACATGCAGACAGAAATTTTCCAGAGGAAGATAAACATCCCTTGGGAGCAGCCTGTGGGTATGAAATGAAAATGCCGCCCTTGTGATGCAAACATCACCACCTTGGGAAACGCTGAGATGGGTGAGTAGACCTCATCAGGCCTCAGGCACCCTGACTCTGCTCATCCTGGCTTCAAAGGTGCCACAGGTCACCGACTAGAAGGTGCTCACAGGAGGCCAGGCACAGCTTCCTTCTCTGCAGTGTTCATTCTGCAGTTTCTGGGACCCTGTAGTTCATTGTGGTCCAGTGAAATGTGTGTGTCTGTGCGTGTGTTTGTGTGCGCGTGTCTTTTTTTTTTTTTTTAATCTTTTTGAGACAGGGTATTGCTATGCATTTCAGGTTGGCTTGAACTCACAATGTAGCCCAGGCTGGCCTCAAACTTACAGTGATCCTCCTGCCTCAGTCTCCTGTGTACCGGGCTTACAGGCATGTGCCACCATTCCCGGCTGTGGTCCAGTAATATTGAAGGAAAAATTGGAGCCATAAACCATGTATAGGTTCTAAATAACTTACAATATATTTATTTTTGCTATTGTTATCAACCTTTCTGTGCCTAATTTCTCAACTGAGCTTTATTATAGTAAATATGTCTGTATATGAAAAATGTAAATGTAGGGCTCAGGCTGTGCGTAGTTTCTGGTGTTGGACCACACCTTCATGCATCTCCTGTGGTCTGGGTGGTTCCTGCATAGTACTGCAAGGATGTGCAATGCAGCACACTCGCCTATCTTCAGAGAAACAAATGAGTCAGTCTCTCTCTCTCTCTCTCTCTCTCTCTCTCTCTCTCTCTCTCTCCTCTCCCCCCACCTCGTACCAGGGATTGAACTCAGAACCTTGCGCTTGATAGGCAGGTGCTTATGCTGCTGAGCTATCTCCCCAGCAAGCAGAAATACCTTTATGCTCCATGGATACATACTAATTTTCTTTGAAAAGATAAATTTTACATACAGTTTGCCAAAGTTTCAGATATATTTAGATGAGGTCATCAGTTTTCTTTGGCTATGCTACTTCTGCAAGAATGAAGATATCCAACCTCCCTTCAAAGGGCAGGCCAGTCTCTCGGGAATGCAGTTTTAGAGGGCTTAGTTCCAGAACTCAGTAGCAAGGAATGGTCTTGACTACATTTTTTAAAGATGAAAGAAGCTTATTTTGAACCTAAAATATTATTTTTAATGGCAGAGTTTCATCACCCTTTTATATCTATAGATACAAGTCTCAGGGATAAAAGAAGCATTTGATAATCCCTAAGTTACAAAAGGAAAAATAGTATTTCATAATAGAATTGCATCACTTTAAGAGCTACAAGAGTCATGTTTGAAGAGGCCAATAAAAATGAAACAAGTTATTTTCTTCAAAGATGTTGACTCACTCATCTAAATTCTAGATTTTTAAAAACCAGCCAAACTGGTTGGTAACAGCTTCCCCTCCCATCTCTTCCCGTGATCTTATATAGTGTTCTTACTACACCAGACCTTTGGTAGACTTTGTTTCTTATTCCTTTCTGAAAAGCAAGGAGGTAATTCCGTCCATCTCCAGAGAAAACTTCCACAGCAATGGGCTTTAGAGAAAAGAGAGAAAAACAGAAGATCATAAATAAGACTTTATGCATTAACTTCACTATAAATTTCTACAAAGCTATAGGAATTTATTGACCATATTTTAGAGACATGAATCCTTTGGAGGTTAAACTAGACAATAAAACACTTTTCTTATTTACAATTTAAGAAAAATTTTAGAAGTAGAATGATATAATACAGTATTTATAAAAATGATAGTGATGATGTAATTTTTATTTTAAAAGATAATTACAATGTTGACCTGGAAAGGTACAGGGGAAGACAGATAATGAAGGCATGACTCAAATTTTAGGCTGTGCCTAAAAAAAGAGACATCACACTTTGCTGCATGCGTGAGATCGTGTGCTGGCACATGGCCCCTTGACCACACCCACCACCTCACCTGCAGGAGATACCTCCTCTTGTGCACCTCCTTGATATCTTCATAGGCGAAAATGCTGCACGTTCTCTTGAGCTGACTGGGGCCCTGCCTGGCTCCTCGAGGGATAATGGGCTCGTGCATACTGCAGGTGACCGAGAGGAAGAGGAAGCAAACACATACAGCAAGGGTAACCGTAAGCTCACTGCCCAACAATGGGTGTGTGATTTTCAACATAGAATGGGAGAAGCCACAAGATATCAGAATTTGCAGTTTAAAAAAATATGTTCAAGGGCTGGGGAGATAGCTCAGTGGAATAAGTGCTTGCCTGGCAAACACAACAAGGTCCTGAGTTCAATCCCTGGTATCATAAAAAAAAAAAAAAGTATGTTCACAAGAAGTTTGCTAGCTTCCAGAATATAAGGAGCTCCTTCTGATGAATACAATTAAAAAGACCCCTTGCTCCCTGCTGTCAGGACCAATTTTTCTATCACGCATTGCAGATGTCTAAGCATATATATATATATATATATATATATATATATATATATATATTTCAGACAGTGTCTTGCTGTGTAGTTAAGGCTGGCCTTGAGTTCACCGTGGAGCTCAGGCTAGCCTCAAACTCCTCAAACTCGCTGTATCCTCCTGCCTCTGCCTTCCAAGGGCTGGGAGTACAGGCGTGTGCCACCAGGCCTGGCTCTAATTTTTTTAAGTTAGAAGAAAATGATTCAATGTATCATTAATATATGTCAATAGTCATGAAACATAAATTTGAATGCTTCTGTACTGGAGTTATAACATGGTCCTCATTACTGAAGAAAGGGACTATCCAATATCTCCTAGGAATGAACCAGAAACCACGTCTGTATTCACTGGTGCTAGACAGTTAAAAGTAAAAGGAAATTAAGAGCAAAGGCCAGGGACGCTGTAATGCTAAAGCTTCTTAGCTGCCTTTGGTTCTGTCTTTTCAGCTTCATCCTAGAATTGGCAAAAGGAAGAAGAGATGCTAAAGCTCGGCTAGCCAATCCCCACATGCTGCTTCTACGATCCAGTCTGTGGGACTCTCGTTTATGAGAGTATTGTACAGCAACCTGCACTTTTCTCTACCACTGTGTTATCTTTTGATGCAATACATAAATTATAATGTAAATAATGCTATTAATTCACAGAAATAAAATTTATTTTTGCTTTGATAAGCAACACAACCTTTTCATTATTACCTTGAAATAACAGTATCACCCTTACGAGTATGTCATTGTAGACACATAGGGACTATGCGACAACACTTCATAGACAGGGTTTTAGATTAAAAAGAAATTATAGCTGGGTGGATGTTGCATGCCTGTAGTCCCAGCACTGGGAGACTGAGATAGGAGGACTGCTACAAGTTTGAGGCTAGCCTGGGCTACGTAGTGAACTGGGGCACCGCTTGAACTATACTGTCTCAAAAAAACAAAAACTGAACCAAACCAAAACAAAACAAAAAAGCCCACCAAAAACTAAGAAATTATACAATCACACTTCCTGTCTTCTAAAGATCACTGTACCTCGAGCCTCTTCATTCATGTACTTACTTTGGGGGTAAGGTTTCAATGTCGCGTATTTCCCTGGTTGCTGTCATGGTAAATCCATCAATCACATAAAAGTGTTCTTTACCAAAAAGCAGGAGCCCCTCACTGGTGTCCAGGCCTTGGACGCGGGCGCAGCGGTACATGTGCTGGATCTGCAAGGACAGCCGCAGATATTCTTCTATGGAGTTTTGTTTTTAAAAGTTGGTGTCCTCCATGTTTTGGTTTCTCTATTATGGCAAGCCCTGAGGTAGGCACGGGAAACCTAGGTTTCCTGCCAGGAGTCATGTCAGCTACACTGTTCACATGCACCCCCTGCCCCCTGTTCCTCTTTTGTTTCGGCGGGAAACATATCACACACTAAACATGCATGTGCCACCCCACCAACGTGGGATAAGGTGGTGAGGCCCTGGCCCTCCTGGACAGGTGTAGTGGTAGAAAAGGGGCTTGAGAACATGGAAGGAGATGAGATGGACATGCCCTTGGGAGGCAGGTGGGCAGAGATGGTGATGGTCTGCATGCAGAGGCCCACTTGTGTCCCCTCACACTTGGGGACTCAGTCAGGTTTCCCAGACTGGCTAAGCCTCTGTGCTTTCATCTGTAAATTTCTAACGAACTTCAGTGGCTACTGTGACATGCAGTGAGCTGAGGCACATGGTCACAGCAGGACTCTGGCAGTCTTCCCTTCCACATGCTTACCTCCCTCTTTTTCTAGAACATTCTTTGGATAAAGCAGCAACTGTGGAAACTGTGCTCATTCATCCTAGCCTGGGTCCTGCCTTCCCGGGACTGTTGGGCCATTATAAAGAGCCAAGCTTGGCAAAGTCCCATTCTGTTCATAGGAGGAAGGATTACCAAATCTCTCAAAGTCACCATTGTTTTCAAAGGGTAGTATCTGATTCTTAGTAAAATATTCTTCCTTGCTTTAAACTCAGCTCAACATGAGTCAAGGGGAAAAAAATCAGCAACTAAATCAAAGTCAAACAAGTGTCACATGAATGTTGGTTTAGGTGCATTTCCTGTGCTATTGAGATGTAAAGCAATTATTGCAAATACTGTACTTCGGAGACTAAAGTTTCCACAAATGATCACCAGAACCCAGAGGAATGGGTTTGGGTGGGGCAAGACACTCATCAAAGGGTGTAAAGTTTCAGTCAGACTGGAGGGTAACTCTTAGTGATTTCCTGCACTACACAGCAGCTGCAGTTAAGAATAATGCATTGTACATTTAAAAATGAAAGCATTATACTGAGTGTCCCCAAACAACCTAGATGTGGATAAATCTTCATTGCCACATTTGAAGTTTTAACTACTCCAACAACGAAAAGGTACAGTCCTACACAGAAAATCCTGACACAATTGTTTTTTTCTGGTACTGTGGATTGCAACCAGGGCCCGTGCATGTTAGGAAGTTAGATACATGTGATACATGGAGCCAGGCCTTCAGTCTCTGGATAAACTTTATTTACCCAACCAATGATTCTCTCACTTCAAGGTTTATGGTATGTCTGTTAAGTTGACAGGGACTGCATGAGGCAAGGGGCTTGGATGAGGGCACAGTGTCTGCCTCTATGGAGCTCACTATCCAGGGAAGGGACAGACACTGGAACAAACAATTCTGACAAGACAGACCAATACAGATAAGGCCTTGTAAAAGCTTAGTAAGACTGCCTCCAAATCAAAACTTAAGAAGGGTTAGGGATGCTAAGGCCTAAGATACAACACTTGGTTCTGGCTCAGCACAGAAAAACAGAGGAGGCTGTCCAGGTGAAAGCTTCTTGCATGTGAGAGTTATGGCCAGGGTGGCACAGTGAATGAGTTTTAGGATGGAGGTTCTCCAGGTGAAGGTGGTGGGCACTTTGGCAAAAACACACAGAGTAACCACAGTGGGCGCAATGAGTTGCATGGCATCCAGTGCTCTTGGGATGGAGCTAGTGCAAGGAGCCTGCAAAGTGGGCAGAGTGCAGGAGGTGGAGGGGACAGGAGGCACTTCCTCAGGGTGAAGGGGAACAGCTAACACAGGGCTAAGCCTGTCTGGAGGTGGTGACCACAATTACAGAGAGGCCCGATTATTGACAGGGTCACCTGTATGGACTTGAAATACAGAATTCCTGCAAGAGACACAGTCTGAGAAAGGGTACACTGAGAGAGTGTTAGGTGCTTTATATGGTATCTGGTGGATCCTGACATTAGTCAGTGCATGCAGAGTTCAGGAAGCCCTTGACCCTGAGAGGAGCAGAGGAGGATGGAACGCAACAGGCCCCTCACTATGTAGTTCATTACAGGAGCTAAATCCTCATCCTAACCTTCTATCAGCTTGTCCTGTAACATGGTATCTCTAATTCTTATTTCTCAGGAGCACAGTACCTTTTCTCCTTCCTCTAGCAGGCGCAGTAATGTGGCGTTGTCTGTTTTCTCCTCCTCTTCTACGGTGCTGCTCTCGGCAATCTGGTCTTGTAGCTGCTCCTGGTTCTCCTCATCTCCTCCATCGGGTGCAGATCGAGAGCGCTTTAGAGGAGGCTTGACCAGACCTACAGTATAATAACGAAGAGGGCCATGTGACATGGGAGGGGCCATGCAGAGGTGCACGTTAGTCCCTTGACATCTCCAATGGTGTGGAGAAGTGTCCCCTGATGCATGGCCCTCCAATATCTTGTTCAGATTATGGATGACTGATCCAAAGCACATAAACAACATGTCTTCAAAAAATGGCACCTCTGGGAGGGGGCAGAACTCCTAAGGGGTGGGGCCTCATGGGAGAAAGCTAGGCCATTGGGGGCATGGCTGCGGAGGGGATCATGGGACCTGGGCTGCTTTTCTGTCTCTCAGCTGCCACAAAGTGAGCAGCTGCTCCATGCATACTCCCTTCACAACATGCCACCTCCCACAGTCCCACAAGATCAAGGCATGCTGCGGACCACAGCCTGACATCTCTGAAACTGGGAGCCTAAATGAATCTTTAGTCTTCACAAGATCACTTATCTCAGGTATCTCAGGTCACAGTAACGGAAAGTCGATCAAAAGTCCCTCCTGTCTACTTCTAATGTGAGACAACACCAGAAGGTATAGGAAGCAACACAGATCAGCGGCTAATAGCAAATGCTTGCAATTCAAACAGCTGCATGGCCTAAGGAAATTAGCTGCCCTTCATATATAAAACTGGGATTAGAATACCATCTACATCTGAGGATTGCTGGAGGATGAATTGAGGGAGGATGAACTGAGGTTAATTTCTGCAGTGCTCGGTATCATGTGTACTATAGGGTAAATTCTCAGTAAGTGTCAGACGATGATGATAAACACAGAACTCAAGAAAATTAGTAGTAAGAACTGTTTTTATAGATGAGTGTGCCAGAAGGGACAATATCAATTGATAACAAATGATTGGTGCCACAAAACTTAAGGCAGCAAATTATGAGCATATTATATGAGATACCACTTACTTGGAGGGCTCGTGCAAATTATAGCAAGCCTCATTTCATAAAGGGCAGTATGATATTTCACACAGAATGTATCTAGGTCAGAAAGAACAGGAATAGGATTTTTCTAATATAGGAATAGTTCATGTATTTGCAGATAAAGGAAATACTTTACTGCGCACATTTTGTTAACTTCATTAAAATCAAAGTAGAGCAACTTAAATGTCAGTTAATGATAGTAATCAGCAAGAATGATCCCGCAGCATGCGTAGTCGGGCAGCAATTGTTACACTTGCTGCTAGCTGTGGCTCTGAGCGTTCTGGAAGTGTAAGTCAACCTGTTCACACTCTTATCCTTTGAAGTTAATTATCAGAGGTTCTGCCTGACCTTAAGAAGAAGCTTATGAAAGAGTATAAAAACTCATCAGAGGAGATAGAGTCCCACTGAGAATATCCATCAGGGGGAAAAGCTTATGCTGTGTTACTTTTAGGTTAATGAAGCAAAACCTCCAATTCTATGATTAGCACAACATCTTATAAATTGTGGCAATTATACCAGTATTGGTGATTTGGGCTCCCTTAGCAATAAGGAAGATCAAGTCAGAGAAGTAAAGTGTCAATGACCCTAGCACATGTCCCCTAACTCAGTGGGTCCTGCTCTAGCTTACATCCCGACACCCAACTCAGTACCTCTGGGGGTGAACTGTTACCAACCGGAGGCTGTTAGATCAATCAGGAAACAGTTAGTGTGTCACAGCCATCCCAACAGAGAACAGGAATGATACTGGGCATGTGACCACAACTTCACATGGTGGTTTCTGTTGAAACCGTCAGATACTACTAGTTTTGTCATCAATGGGATCTAAAACTTATAATCTCTGCCTCTGAGAAAAACTCCTAGGAAGAAAGGAATAAACACAACAGTGAAAAATCACTGAAAGTATGACCAGACTCACAAGCAAAGAGCCACCGGAGGACGGAGGTGTCACGAAGCTGGCCTACCCCACTGGGAAGAGCTGTGCAAAGGGGAAGGCACGCCTTCAGACCGAGTCCACGACCATGCAAGATTATACCATGAAAAGAGCACAGGCACTGTGGTCAATGCCATCACCTACCAACCTCCTGAAGTTGAGACCTGAGATAATCTCTGTCCACTCACAGAAAGACCATTATTTCTTACTGCTGGCTGAGCATAGATGACCCATTTAGTGGCTCCTTTACTTTTGCATTTATATAGTCACCATTGCCTCTATGTCAAGTATCATGTGCCACTCGGCATTCTGCCACATGCAGTGAACAAACTACAACCCTTAGCACATGCATAACACTTGTCTACAGGCACGGAGACTGGTTGGTCTCCTGGTTCGGAGGGAGAGGTCCAGCTGTGAGAAGGACACGGTGGGGCATCAGTCCAGAGAGGCTGAAGGATGACCCCTCCTCCCCCCGTAACTTCTCCTGTCTCCACATACATGCCAGTGGGGGAAGGTTCAGAGGTTTCTGACTGGGAACTGAGAGGGGGCTGACCTCTGACTTTGGCGATGGTGTCTTCACCGTGCTCCGGCTCCTGCTGCGCAGCTTCCCCGTCCGAGCTCTCCACAATGGGGTCCTGGACAATGGCAGGGTTGCCAGAGGCCAGGCGCAGGTAGTATTCTTTGCTGTCATAGCTGACAGCCCTTCTGTACCGAGCAGGCTTCTGAGAAATAGCAAAAGAAAAGGACTCACATGATTCTCTCCCAGAATTAAAACACAAGCTTCTACGGGAGGTGAGCTGTCAAGGTTTCCTTGCACAGTATTCCTTCTTTAGGGGTTTTAATATAAACACTGCATAAGTACGCAGTGAATCCACATACTTCTAGAAAGGCTTCTCTAGGTTCAAACTCCACTGATTTTCTTTAAAGGCACATACAAGAAAAGACTAGCAGTTTGGTTCTTCGTCAAACAGAAATAGGATCATCTATACCAAATGAGGTTTCCAGCTGGAGCAGCATACCCTGGTTGACGACAGAAGATAGAAGCCCCCAAATGAAGAGCATTGACCCCAGGACCTGGCCTGCAAGGAGCCTCAAATCCCGGGTTTCCCCTGACCTGTGGCTACGAGCAGCACCTCCTTTAGGGTCTAGTGAGTTCTGACCCCACATAGAACCCAGGTGTCTCCCACCAGATGCCTTTGCTGGTGCACCTGCCTCTACGAGCTGCTACCTCCAGTTCGCTAAAACATTCTAGTTTTCTTGTTGTATAAAACACTATGATCCATGAACCTATAATTAAGTGTAAAGGAAATAAATATAAGTCCATTTTGAATAAGAAATTAACTAGAAAATGATTAATTTCTTTTTCCAAATAATTGATATTTATTATTTAAAAAGATTGTCCAGTTGACTAATTTTTTTTAACTCTAAACAGTGAGAAAGGTCTAAAACATATTAAAATCACAGCAGGAAAAAATTACATGTATTTAGATTCTTAAAATCAGAATTAGACTTAGACTTTGAATGAAGAATTATAAACATGTACAATAGGCTTTAAAACCTTTCTCTTCTAGATATTATGTTATTTCTCTTTTCTTATGAATATCTAATGAAAATACTATTGGCTTACTGTTCCAAGCAAGGCATCAATATACACATCGTCTACAGCAATGCTTATCTCAATAAATTACTGCACTTCCTTGTAAAGCATGGACCAGCTGTAATGGAAAATGATGTCCAATGGGGGCAAGATTTAGGCTGATACAGTAAACCAACTCTGAATGAAAGGCTCCCGAGCCGAAGCCACATCACCCTTCATTTTACTTCAGGTACAGACTCAGGGCGTTAAGACAAATGCAAGCAGTCTGAGGCAGGATGGGCAGCACATGAAGACTGAAAATTATGCCATAGCTTTGGAAAGTAGTAATAAAATAATTACACCACTGTGGAAACTCAATCTGATGAGCAAACCAATAGGACTAAACTTGTTTTTTAGAATGAAAGAAAGGCGGTAAACTTTGTACCGTGACAGTTCCTATGAATGAGGCACAACAATGATCTGATTTTGTAAGATGGCGACATAGTTAGTGATGGGCAAGACAATGAATTAGCAGATGTGGGACACTGTCTATGTGGTTGCTGACTTCACGCACACATTTACTCTTGAATGACAAGAATTCTCCTAATATTCTTCAAGGTATGTTTCTGTGCTTTACTGACTCTGTTTGGAAAAAACAATGATACATTTTTGCACTAATATAAATTGTACTTTAGAAAGTGACTGTATAGTCTCAGTTTCCATAGTTTCTTTTGACTCAAGAAAATAATTATAAAAAGGATACACTTGCAATTTAAGATATCTACAAGAATTAAGCCAGTAATTGAACTCCCAAGTTGAGGACACTGGGCTGCCCATTACTAACATGCCTGACGTTTGTTAGTGGTGTGTGAAGCAGGACGCGTTTCAGAGCGAGCAGGAGAGTGGTGAGTGCTGGCTGTTAGCGAGCGGCAGGGCTACTCAGGACCAAGCTGCGGAAGAGGGAACCAATGTTCCTCGGTAGAAAGGACACCAACTTTTCAACTCTAAAGAACTACAGAAGAAGAAACCAAAAGCCAATCTTTTAAGTTAGTCTAATCTACCATGCACTAACAGAACAAAATGAACAGAAAAACAAAACAAAAAAACTGTAAGTAGTTTGCATTCTTTTGTGGTAATTTGTGTTTTACCTTTTGAGGAATGATATCATCAGGTGTCTCAGGCTGTTTACTTGGGATTTCAGACTGAAAACAGGTATTAATCACAGACACATCAGAAAAAAATAAAGCAACACAAAAATAAAATTTTCTTCAGGACCATATGAAATATGAGGATGTACTCATTCAAAAGAAATTAACATGAACTCTACTATCTAGAAAATCACTTATTTCCTCTTTGATCAAAAAGTAGTTTTAAGCAAAATTCAATATACCAAAAGTCTCAGTGCTAGTGAACAGAACAAACTCTTACGTATTACACAGATAAAACAGCCACACAGGGATGATTTACATGCAACTTTTTCCATGGTTCAGAAGGAAAAAACTGAAACCTGGCTAACAGACTCATGCTAGTTGGTACCTTCTAGCTGCCTTGCCCCTGATCCATGCTGGAACTTGGATTTCAACACTCATCTACAGTCTGCCCTACTACAGAACACATCAAGGCCCAGTCAGCAGAGATCCAGCCTCCCACTGGAGTATGACAACCTACCGTCTTTGCTACATGTAAAGATACTACCCAGAAATGCTGAAGCCAATGGCAGATTGGATTATTGGTTCCCAAACCAACAATTTTCTTAAAGAGTCATTTTAAAAAGAATTAGTCATTTTTTAAAAACTGCTTCATGAACATGAAGGAGTTTCTTGTTACACTGCAGTGTGTGGCTAAATGTATGTAAGTGTACAGGCAGCTACTTCATTTTATAGTACACGGACCTAGCAGTGACTGCTGGCACCTTTCCTACAGGAAACAGGAACAAGCAAAATGTTTTTACTAATATTTGCTTTCTAAGGCAAAGCAAACACCAGACTACCAACCTGTTTTCAAGAAGTTTACATGGTTTGAGAGAACCTTTTACTTTGAAAGCACACGTATAAGCATATACATGTGCTTATATTGAAGATGAATCTGTAAAATACAGATCAATGTTCTGTCTTTGGAGGGGTTTGACTGATAGAGGTATAGTGTATGCATTCATTAAAACAGGCCCTAGTAAAATAAACATATTTTAAAGGCAAAACCAGATCAGGAAATGCAACAGAAGAAAAAGAGAAAAAAAAATCACTAAATGGCACTCTTAAAGATTTGTATATTTCAATGTACATTCTGAAAAGAATTATAAATATTTATCTCTTCTAATTAATGACATGCAAAAGAATTATTATGAAATTCAATTCACACTGACACTCATTCAAAATAAACTGCTGAATAAACAAGTGATAAAACAATATAACAAAATGGACCAATTACCGTTATCAGCCTGAGCTTTGTTATTCTGTAAATGTTTATGTGGTCAGGGCCCACGGGGCTTGCACGTCCATGTTCTTTACAACACATGGCATCACACTGGCTTAACACAGATGTGCTCGGAGCTCACTAACTTACAGAGGCTCCTCCCATTATCCAGTGGTAAACACGAACGTTACTCCAAAAAGGTTAGTATCATCATGTTCTTTTATTTTAAAAAAGCACTAAATTATGTTTGTATAGAAATTGAATTTCTGAAACTCAGAATTTTGACAAAATAATTTTACAGTTCTTTTTTTTTTGGCAGAACCGGGGATTGAACTCAGGCCCTTGCACTTGCCAGGGAAGTGCTTATTCCACTGAGCCCTTTACAGTTCTTTTTATTTAAATCTTTCTATGTTAACAATGAAATTCACCCAATCAGCTTTTTAGTTTCTGGGAGTTACAGGACAGTACAGAAATATTTGTGGCAGTAGGTACAAAAGTCTCCTTTAGGTAGAAAAGAAATCTTAAGAAAGGAAGGAAGGAAGGAAGGAAAAAGGAGGAAGGAAGGAAGGAAGGTACAAGGAAACTAGCTGTCTATCCTTGAGCAACTCATTAGCCAGTGGTCTTTGCCAATGTTCTTGGCAAACAATATTATTATTTGAGAATATAATATAATATAAATTATTTTTCAGAATTATTTTGTAAAAATAAGGGAATTACAAGATTAAAACAGTTTAGTATCTAAATGTCATATTTCTTTAAATGGAAAAATACAGGATTATATTTTCCTTTTTTAGGACTCAGTAAGGAGAGTAAGGCTTAAAAACATTCAAGTCTTATATTCTTACCCTGAGTTTCTATCCATCCTAACACTATTTCTTGCTGATATTATCATTTATATAGAGAAATACAGTTCAAACTAGTGGTTTTAATCATGAAAATTACTTCCAATGGGAATTCACTGTGCAGAGAGGATAATTTATTTTTATGTGCAAATACAAATTTCCTACATGTACTTAATTCTTCTCAGGGTGTTCATACTTATTATTACCAGCTCTTTTATTAAAGTAAGTTTAGTTGGTAAACTTTAAAAGCTTTAAACTCGTAACAAGTAGACCATTAAAAATGTTTTATATTTTCCCATCCAAGTATCAACCAGGCCTGACCCTGCTTAGCTTCCAAAATTAGATGAATTCTGGTCACAGTGAGAGTGTTATGGCTATAGACTAAAAAAATTGTATATTCTATAAACATCAAGCCTAAAATCAAATAACAAAGTTCAAAGCTCAGAATAAGTATTTTATATTGTATGTAACACTATTGAAGTTAAAGAAATAAAACTTTAGTAACTAAAAAAAGGGCTGTATTTATTAGTATGGAAATTTACTGGGAAAAGAATGGGGACTAGGAATAGTGCTGAGAGGCAGGAGGGTCCCAAAGGGGGTGCCATGATCTATTTTTAACACATTAAAAAATTTAAAGTGAGAAATTAGCTTTTCATTCACCCCTACATTCTTCAACTAAAGAATAACTTTGATGTATAAATCAAACTGTACTAGAACTGTAAATGCTACTTAAAGCTGTAGTTATCCTTAATAAACAAGGCAAAGGATTGAAGCACATGCCCTTGCACCAATAAAGCCTGTTTTGCATATTAAGAGCCTTTAAAACCACTTTTCGGGTTGACACGGCACACACCTGCGTATTGCAAAAGAGAACTACGCGAGTAGCAAGTTTAGGGAGCAGAGAGGGAAGAGCTGATTGCTCTCTATTTCTAGGATGCAGAGGTGGACTTACCATGTGACTAATCAGGTTTAAACCTCAGGGGACTTCACTTCTCCTGGGACCTTTTCAAAGCTCTGGCCCTAGTAATTTTGTATTTATAACTTTATAGTCTCTTTTAAATTTTTTAACAGAGTTCTCCCCCACTGTATAAATCTTGGGGCCCAGAATATCTGGTTTTATCTCTTTAGTGAAAAAATTTCAGAATTAAGAATGCTATAGCTTTGAAAAGGAAGCATTAAAAGAGCATCTCTTACCTAAGCAAGAGTGTTGCTGGTTCATTCCCACAACGTCAGTTAAGTACGGGGCCCTAGGACAGCACCCTTTAAGTGGTTTCTGGGTGGAACACACCCACTGGCTATGGATGAATTTGCTGGAGTCTTCCTTTTCCAAGTGACTTAACTACTCAGGGGCTAGTGACCAGCACTCACACCTTACTCTGTCAAGGAGTAGCTGCAACCAGGAGGGTTCTTCACGCGCCTAGTTTTCAGCTGTGAATCTGGTAAAGTAATATTAACTGAGTTTTGGAGGGCTTTTACGACAAGGAAGCGAAACTGCACATCAACTACTCTGCAGCATGCAGCCCTTTATGTTCTATGTCACTCATTCGGAGGGACAGGGACATGGTCTGGGGAAAGGCACTGTCACTGGGTGACTTCATCGTGGTCAGGACATGGTGGCGTGCACTTACACCACGATGTCATCAGGCAGTGTGCTCTCATGGGACTGCTGCTGCGCATCCAGTTCAGTGCTGAGGCAAACAGATGTTAGGCGGCTTGTAACTACTTGTCTTATGGGCTTATTTAATTTCAGTGAAAGCCAGTGAGATAAATGTGTTTTGAAATTTTCTGTTCCAGGCATTGCCAGATTTCATATTCCATATGATAATAGTGGATATTTGATGGTCTTTTAAATTTACAAGAGTTTGAATCACCAAAACCAAAATAAAAATTAGTTACTCAGGAAATTTCAGGGTAACAGGTTAGCCTAGATATGAACCATCTGCCATACGTTGTACATTCTTTGCCGTCTCCTTTTCCTACCTGCTTTTCTTTCAGTGAGTACACTCACTGCCTTATCCTTTCCAGTACATAACCCATATTCCTTGGGCACATATTGATTATGAGATGCTTGATTGGGTTTCATTCCTATGAACCCTGAATAGCTTATTTTGTCTTTACCTGAAATGGAACCTTAAATATATTTTTGTAAATAAATATTAGTGTTATAAAGAGTGTTAAAAAGATAAGGTTGAAAATATTATAGTTATTAAAAAATGACTCACAGGTAAATGCCTCATTTAAAACAGTGCGTTGGTCTCATGTATAGGACAGCATATTTATTTTATATTTTATTGTTCTGGAATGGATTCTTTTTTTTTTTTTCCATTTTGTGTATTTGGTACAGGGTCTCACTATGCAGCTTGGATTAGTAGTGATCCTCCTGTTTTTAGCCTCCCCAGCACTGCAATTACAGGCATGCACCACCACACTGGGTCTTAGTTGCCAGCTCAGCACGTCCCAGGAGTGGGGCTGGTACAGCACACTGACCAGGGACCGAAGGAATGGATTCAATTTCAAGTGAGTGTTGACTCAAGAAATCTATTATCAAATTTCTAAGAGTTTAAATTCTTAATGAGTTACCTGGGGGGGGGGGGAACGCTGCAGATTTAGTGATTGTGCTGTTATTTTGCTAGTAAAAAGTAGACCTCTAAGAAAAAACAGCAAAAACATAGGGGGATAATCTTTTTTACACAGTGCTCCCAATTGGAAATGATAGTATTTTAACTGTAGCTATATTTTAAGTGTAGCTCTTGCTAGTATGCTTTTCTTAACAGAACTGAATAGCTTTGAGAAATGCAGACATCAGAAACCTATCTTCAAAAACGTGAAACTAGCTACGAGCAGCATGTGATAAGGATCTATATTGTTCTGAAAAATTATAAATTGAAAAATTCATTATAAGTTGGCAAGTATAATTTGGGGTACAGAGTGAAGTTATATGTACAGTATCTAATATGAATGATTAAGTCATGCTAATTAACATATCAATTAGCTCTGATATTTATCATTTTTGTGTTGAGAACTTGAATTTACTCTCAAAATTTGATATGTAGGATACAATACTATTCACTATAGTAACTGCACTTCAGTAGATTTCAAAAAGCCAATTCCTGTCTAAATGAATCTGTATTCTTTCTGGAGGCTGTTCCCCAGCCTCTCATATCTACCATTCAAGTGAGTAATAGAGCTTGATTAGTTTAGATTCCATGCTAAATAGGACCATGTCATATCTGTCCCTCTGTGCCTAGTATACACTACTGACTCATCTGGGTTGAGGCAAATGCTGCTTTTTTCCTTTCGAATAAAGGCAGAACACTACTGTATTGTATAGGTTTTCCAGTTTTTGTACCTGTCACCTAATAATGGGTGACTAAGTTGATTCTAAGACTTACATTCTATATAGCATCAGAACAGAGGTTTGGCCAGTGACACGAGAAAATAGGGCTAGGGTTTGGCATGGGACAAGGAGGCTAGAAGGTATGCACTCTGTAGCAAGCACTGAATGCCCTAATAAGGTGCACTACTATGTAGGCACAAGGAAACAGCACCCAAAGAAGTTCAGGGAGCTGTCCACAGATGCGCAAGTGGCAGCACAGGTTTAAAGTCAGGCAGGGTGTGATCTAAACCATTTTGTGATAGCTCTCTGCTACCCAGTTTCACCTTTCGTGTCACTACCCTCCTAGGTCATACAGGTAAGTGACCCAGAGAGGAAAACGCTTACTGATGAAAGAAGGACCTATGACGACCCCCACAGCGTTCATTTCTATACACTCACCGTCACATTAGCCTCTTGCTCTGTCTCTGGCACATACGGATAGTGGTTATAGAACATGTCATTGCGCACCATTTTCTTCCTCATTCTGCAGGGCCCTTCCGTCATCTCCAGCATCCACTTGTCCAGATGGGACCCAATGGGTGGACCCCACAATCCTCGCTCCCGCAAGAGCTCACACTCAATCTGGCACCACTCCTCTGTCACGTACTTCAGGGCATTTTGCTGGCGCTACCAAAAATGTCCAGGTTGGTTTAAGCAAAAGGAGTAATAATAAACAGCCCCCAAATAACCTAATGTCAGGTTACCATTCAGAATTAAATGTAATCCACGTCATTCATTTCCCATGGGTCAATTTTTATAAAAGTAAAATCCCATTTATTTATAGTTAATGACAGCTAGCGAGTCTGTGAGACTGTGGGATCTATTGCGGACAAGGTAACTTTTTATCACTAAATAAAAGATAAATGTGTACAGAGTAGTGTATGTGGTATGGTAAAAAATACACTGTTTATATTAAAATTTTAAAAAAAGTTTTGGTCTTTTTGAGACAGAGTCTTGCTATGCAGTTCAGGCTGGCCTTGAGCTCAGTTTGTAGCCCAAGCTGGTCTCGAACTTGCAATGATCCTCCTGCCTCAGCCTCCAGAGTGCTGGGAATACAGGTGTGCACCACCATGCCCGGTTAAAATGTTTAACAAAACATTGTCATTTATCTCCCTCAAAACCTTTCCCCTTGCTTCCAACACACTGTGATGACCACTAACTCTTACCTCCTGATACTCCTTATACTGCGTGTCCACTAAGTCCCGGACAACCGCTATGTGTGTGAACATCCACTGAGAGATCTCCTAGGGGTGGATGGAGAGAGGCTTAATATGTCAGATGTTTCTGGGAAATATGGCTAGACTTGAAATTTATGCTGAACCTTAGTTAAAACTCTCTCCAAAGTGTCTATTACAGAAAACCAAAGTGCTGAAGAATGAGCTTTATGACACGCCATGTCCTGGCTTTCCAGGCACTGTTCATACCTGCAGGGAGGTACCAGGCTGCAAAGTGCTGTGGGGATGGCTGAGCTGCGGGAGAAGGCTCAGCCAACCCTGCCTAGCTATTCTGGTCCCCAAACTACACCGAGACCTGACACATACCCGTATCCAAAGTATCCTTAACACACAACCTACACACTAAGCTCCACCCCAGAGTTTGCTGTGCTGGACAGTGTTTCACTCACACCCTCTCTCCAGCGGCCTCTGGGATTCTGGGACGGTGAAGGAAATAGGATGAGGAAGGAGATGATGGTAGAGCTGTAGAAGTGCTTTTCCTTACAACATTGACTGCAAGTGTTTACAACAACATCATGGAAAATAAGGAGCCATGTTGTCTGTTGGTGTAAAATTTATATAATTATCCAAAGTATTTAAAGTTTGAGGTGCTGGGGAGATGGCTCAGTAGAATAAGCGCTTGTCTGGCAAGCACAACAGTCTGAGTTCAATCCCTGGCTCCCACAATAAATAAATAAATAAATAAATAAATAAATAAAGTAAGTTTGAAAAATTATCTTAGTGTGTTTAGAAATCTCTGAATTTCCTCTTATGCCCAGTTAGGCAATGGCTGTAAATAAAGAGTACTCATTATACAATGTCATCAAGACACAACAGGTGAGCTTGCCACAGTCTAGGTACTTCTCTTTCTCTTCTAAAGCACACTGCAGAGAAATTCCACTTCAAATCAATTGCTTGCACATATTAATAGCATTATATCCAATACTATGACCAAACTGAATACTATGATGTAAACAGAAACTCCTGGTGAAGACGTCAACAAAACTAAACAACGTACTTGAGTGGAAAGACTGTGCTTGTTTAGACCACTTTCCTTCCGATTCCTCCTTGATCCTGTTAACTTGGAAAGCCCAAAGCCACTGCTGACTCGGGACAGTTTGGACTGTGTGGTGGGCACTAGAGCTTCTCCTCGACTTATGCTTTTCTTTTCATGGGCTAGGAAAGGAAAATGAGATTATTTTACAATTTCTCCATACGCTTATTAGTCTTGCTTTTAATAGTTTTTCATTATGGTTGCAAATTGCAATCCTGTACAGTAGCTCATATCCCCACTGTCCATGGTTTTGATTTCTATAGTTCAAGTTATCTTCACACAACTGAAAACATTACTAAAATGGAGAGGATTTGAGATAGGAGACCATACACATGCACCTTTTATCATGGTATATTTACATAACTGTTCTATTTTATTATTAGATACTACTATTAAGTGTTACTATTTCATACACACACACCCCGAGGGAAAAACAAAGCATATATAGGGCCTGGTGTCCACAGCTGCAAGACCCTACTAGGGGTTTTGGAATATTTCCCCAGTCAAAAAGGGAAGAATGCTCTGGTTACCAAAAGCAGCACATACAACACATGTAGATACTGCTTTGAGATATCACACTTATTCGGTGGTGATCTTGCTTACAGATGGTTGCTCGAGAACCCTGTACTAGGTGAATTTGCACTTGGCTGCAATGTCACAGCTTTGCAATATTATGCAAAATAATTTTTGCTGGAGTACATTTCTATAATCACTTTTGCTAGAATACACAATTTATGCATATAATAAGAATTCTTATATACAGCTTTTACTGCTGGGCATATTTTGGAACTCAGACTACTTGGGATTTTTACAAGATCATGCTATCCATACTCTGTACGGTAGCATATCACCCACCAGACGGTCTTGGTACCCAATGAGTTTCAGCATCAGGAGAATGAGAAAACCTTGGGTTTTCAGGGCTTTTTTACTTTCAGAGCTATGGAGAAAGGGCTGTGGTCCCTTTCCCAAGACAGTTACCTGCATAACGCTGCAAATAGTGCACTGTGCACTTCCCTAGCTCATAAATGCCTAATGTATAACAGCACACTTTTAGAAGCAAAAAAGGAGCCAAAAAGCCTGAAACCAACTCTTAGCGGAATCATTTCAGAAGGTTCTCCTGTGTTCGGTTTTGTTGCTTTTGCCAGCAGAGTACCTTCACTGTGATTCCTTAATAGCATGTCTAACGTCACCCACGCATAAGAGGCACAGCTCTGCTGGTGGCTTACCCAAGTGATTCTGCCAGCATTTCAGACCCGCTTCTTCGATGAGTGGCCGTGCGACGGCAATGTCCACATGGCCCCGTTCGTTCACAGGCAGAGTGACCTTGAAAAGCTCCTCCAGGACCTGTTTCTTACTATGAATCAGCTCAGTCCAAACTCTGTTGACTGCTTTTATGAGGAGCTGACGCCCTAGGAACCAAAGAAATGCAAACAAATGACCCAGGCGCTGCATAAAATTCGTTCTTATTTTCCTTTATGTGCTATATCTAGGAATTTCAATAACAGTATTTAAATGTGCAAAAACAAACACCTGCTCATTTTCTTCCCAGCTCATTAAAAAGACTGGTTGAGATAACCTAAATTAAATTAGAACCTTTATGTTTATGCAAGGGGACTGTATTTTTACTTATAAGTTTGAGAATTACATATATATTTGACTAGTATATATGTTTTAGATAAGAAACTGCTACTTAAGGAGTGTGTGTGTGCATGCGCGTGTGTTTACAAGGCTGGTGAATGAGCAGTGGGCTATACTCTTGGCTTTTATTTTTTTCAGTTAATTTCATTGGTACACTTCTGATGTGTACACAGAAGTATAATGAACACGTTCATCATAGGGAATTTGTACCGGCACATGATATGTCCCTTTAGCCCCATCCCCTTCCTTATTTACAAAAGCTTTGTTTTCATTTTTTTCCTTCTCTTCCCTTTCCCTTTCATATTCCCTTGTTCTCCTTCCCATTTGAACATTTTCTTCCTACTTCCCAATGTCCATCGCACATTTTGGTCCTTAATTATGCTTGTGACTTCGCACTTAAGAAAAACAGTGTTACAGTTAAACATATGTGTCTCATTTGTTTCACTTAGAAGAATGGTCTTAATGTGCATCCATTTACCTAAAGATGTCTCAGGCTGAGCCTTCTTTATGGCAGAGAATATTTTATATAACAACCACACTTTCTGTATCAATTTGTCCATTAACGGCATCTGAGATGCTTCCAAGATTTAGCTATTATGAGTTGTACTGCCATAAGTATGAGTCGGCATATACTGCTGTGGCATGATGCTTTTAACTTTCGTGAAGGTGCCAAGAGGGGGAATAGCTGGGTTAAATGGAACCTCTAGGTTTAGTCTTCGAAGATACACTATCCTGAATTCTGTACAGGCTGTACTAATTTACACTCTGCCCAGTAGTGCAGAAGGGCTTATGTTCCCCCATAACCCTGCCAGCATTTCATTCTGGTTTATGTCTCGATGATAGCCAATTCTTTTTGAAGTGAGATGAAATCTCAATGTTATTTTAATTTGTATTTCTCAAATGACCAGTGATGTTGAACATTTTTGATAAATTTATTTGCTTTTTGTACTAAATCTGAGACTATTAAGATGTCCACTTTGAGACAGGGTCTTTATATTTGAATTTTTAAAGTACTTTATATATTCTACACATAAGTCTTTTGCCTAAGAAACAGCTGGCAAAATTTTTCCCCACACTTGTAGGATGTCTCTTCATTCTGTTTGTGTTCTCTTTTCCTGTAGAAGAGTTTTTTAGTACAATAAGATCCTATTTGTTGAGCCTTTGTAATATTTCCCATGTCACTGGGGTTTTCTGATAAAGTCTTTGCTTACATTTGTCTTCTTCAATAGTTTTACCTACTTTATCTTCCAGAAGATTAAATGTTTGAGTTTTGAAATTTGAATCTTTGATCCATTTAGATTTTATTTAGTGCATGGTGAGTGATACAAAAGAAAACAGCAAAAGCAACCAGCAAGCTAACACTCTTTCTGCCCTAAGCTACCCACTCTAGGGCAGGTATAGCACTCCCACCCTTAACCCCAGCACCCTCAATTTCAGCATTGCACTATGAATCACATATTCTAGATTCAGCTATCTCTAAAAAACCTAAGACTGCATGAGGCTTTGGGGTGACATCTGGACAGAAACCACAATTAATTGTGTTAGTGGTTATTTGGTTTATGTACATTAGTATTTGTTTCATATAGTTAGGCATGCTAGTATTAAGGGCATATGTATTTATGATTGTTATCTATTCCTATTAGACTGTATACTTAACAAGTATATAATAACCTTCTTTGTCTCTTCTGATCAATCTTGGCTTGAAATCCACTTCGTCAGCAAATAGAATAGGTATTCCTGATTTTTTTCTGGGTTCCTATTGCATGGAGTACTGCTTTCCATCCTTTGGTTTTTCAGTCTATGAATTTACCTTTGAGTTAAATGTGTTTCTTATAGATAGCATACTCTTGGATCCTATTTCTTGATACATTCTGCCAACCTATTTCTTTTCATTGGTTAACTGTCACATTGACGGTTACACCTGATATGTGTTGACATTTCCTTGTCATATTATTTTCCTGTTGTTGGTTCCATGTTTTCCTCCTCTGTTTAACTGCTTGGCTTGCCTGGTGGGTTCATTCTATTGTGGTTCACGGGATTGCTGTCTTCATTGTCTTTTTCTATGAATATCCTTCAGAACTTTTTGGAGTGCTAATTTGTCGGTCATGAATTTCTTCACGGGTTCTTTATCAGGGAAGTATCTTATTTCTTCATCGATTTTGAAAGACATTAATCTGAGTAGGAGATTGTTCTAGGGATTGACAGGCTTTCAAATGTAGTATCTAAAGTGAGCTCAAGAGGTATTAATATGTTAGGAAGATTTTTACCATTAAATTCAGTCCTGTTCTAATTGTTCTGACTCTTCTAGATGATTCAATGCTCAGCAGGCAACAGAATCAGAAGCAAGGCTTGTCACTGCCCACTGCTAGCTCCCTACTCAGGGAGTTTCTGAAGTAGCAGAACTGAGTGTGGCCAGAGAATCTGTTTCTACAAGGCTACCCAATGACGCTTGATGGTGCCACTCTAAGGACCTGGCCCTAGAAACCAAAGTGTTACATTTTCAGTTCCTTCAAGGGAAAAACTGTACCTGCAAGTAAGCCTCAGAATACGGTTCAAGAAATTTGGGTCAAAGGACAGAGAATAAATTAGTGCTTAAAGGAAGGAATGAAAAGATGAGTAAGTACTCAACTTCCTAAGGATAAAACATTTACCAAACTACCACACAATACTGCTAGAACACAAACACCACCACAGTGACCTCAGCTTTAAAGCCACCAAAAGTAGAAATAAAAAAATCAATCCATGTAAGTAAGAGTTCAATGTGCAACTGCTCATTGGATCAGTGGGAAAACTAGGTTTTAAAGAGAATCAAATCAGGCAACAATGGTATTTCTGGTAACCTACCTTGAATGACATCTGTCTGTAATGTGGACACGCCTGATTCCAGGCATTCATTCAGGCAGTTTTCTTTAGAGTAAATGCAAGTTTTATCTTTACTTTTACTTGTGGCAGTGTAAACACCACTAAGCCACCTGCTGTCTCTGTCTTATACAAGGAGACCCTGTATGGGCACAATGATGAGTGTGCACATCACCCTGGAGAAGAGTAGCTGCTAATGTTGGCAGCTTCTGAAGGGTGATTTTTGGATTTATCTTAAACAATAGAGATGAATAAAATGACACTCAAATTTAGTGGGGCAGCTTTACCTTCACTAATATCTTGGCTGTAACCACCATCAGGTTCGATGTCAGAAGGAATCATAATGTGCCATGTGGTCATGCGAGCTTCAGCTTCTAGTCCAAATCCTTCCACGTTGCTGAAAAATGCAAGTCAAGTTTAACTATCTAAAGGAAATGATTATAGTTTAAAATTAACAAAAAAAAAAAAAAATTATTCACAGAGACACCTAAGGCTCCCCAGTTACTGGCAGATGCATGAAACAGAACACTAACTTACCAAGAAGATGCCATTTTTAAGAGAATCTCCAAGATTCACTTGGATAGATGTTATCAAACTAACCTATAGCACCACAATAATTGCCTTCATCTTTAAGATCCTTTTGGATGACTGTTAACACTGTTACCTAGAAATTTCATGAGGTTCACTTAACTATGCTATCCTAATACCCAGTGTCCTCTCCAGCCCTACATCCACCTTTCTCTGCTCCAGTAGCAGTCAGCCCTTCAGCTTTCCACAGGTACCACTCTCCCTGCCTTGGGCAATCTCTCCCAGAAAGCTTTCTTTCTTTAGCCCTTGTCCCTGCAACTGGATCTCATCACATGTGTATCTTACAGGCCTATCATGTGCTCCAAAGCACAGTGCTGCCTCCACCAGACACCCAGGACAAACTGGTCATAGGCATATGTTCTTCTCCAAGAGGGCTACATCCCATAGGGTCTACCTGGTATTTATCCCAGTCCCTAATTTCATGGCTACCCCCAACACGTACTACAGAGATGTCAAAGCAATCCTCAGAAAACACTAATTTCATTCCTTTAACACATAACACTACCTGGAGTTTTTTTTTTTTTTTTTTTTTTTTTAACAGTGTTTTGCAGTCCCATTTTTTTTTTATGCAGTGAAAGTTTTTAATTTTTATGAAGTCAATTTTACACATGTGGGTCTGATTTATAACACATAACACTACCTGGAGTTTTTTTTTTTTTTTTTTTTTTTTTAACATGTCTGAGCCTCTAACAGCATATACTTTATTTGCTTTTTTTTTTTTTTGGCAGAACCGGCATTTGAACTCAGGCCCTTGGCAAGCACTTATTCTACTGAGCTATCTCCCCGGCCCCTACTTTGTTTGCTTTGAAAGCATATTTCCTTTTTAAAATTATACGGGTCAAAAATATTGTTCTTATTAGAAATAAATGTGATATTTGTCCTTTTTCATTTGTATAAAGTATTAAGTAAAGCAGAAAAAAGGGAAAGTGAAATGTTAAGAATTCTGGTGGAATAATATGAAACAGGAACTCAACATGGCCAGCTGAGCCTCAACAATTACCTTCCAGCATGCAGATTAATCAAGCAGTGAGCGAGACAGCTGATGAATTCCTGGTCGTGGTTCCCAGGTCCCAAGATCAAGTTCCGGTTGACAGTCAGGAGCCGGAGTGAGTCCAAGAGCTGTACTTGCTGAGGGACAGTCTTGTGTGCCCGTGAGAACTGATACAAGATGGTCCTATTGAGGCAGTGATAGACTGTATCCAATGACAGCCCTTGTGATCTTCTCTTCGACTAAAGACATCAAAAGACAAGTTTTTTTTTAAGGAAAATGGACAAAAAAGAAAGGCTTGTTTATCATTCACGCATGAACTCTGATTAGCTATTACATACCGTATGCCATGCTAAGAACTAGGGGTGTTAAGTTAAATACCACTAAGTTCTTGCTACTGTGGGGCTCACAGCTTTTTATTTTGATGCTTTAGTTGTATCTCCTTGCCTGAAAGTTCTTCTCTCTGAGTGGGCTGTAAATGCATCCCTGAGAAGAGGCTCAGGGAGCAGGAGGGAACTTCTGCACCTTTGTACCACGTAGAGGTAACAGTGCAGAGGCCACGAGCGCTCACAAATCACAACAATTACTGGCCAGAGAGTTTCCTATCCTCGGGTATGCTGTGAGCACGATTAATACCTGTGCCAAGCCAGGCCAACACCCTCAGCCAAGCATGCACAAGGAACAAAGAACATCAGCAAAGGCACATGGACCACACGGACTTGCTAAGGACTCGATGACAAGCGAGCATCTCTTTAATGCCAACTCATCATGCTCTGTAGCCTTCGTATGCGATGCACTATAAAACCCATTGGACCGCATGAACATAAGGTTAAATGCAGCTGGTGGCAAAGAAGAGCACCAGGAGAGAGGACAGAGACCATCAGCTTGAAAGAGTGAGGGGGGCTGACCAGAGACACACTGCACCTGGCTACTGGTAAGGGGCAAGGGTTAAAAGAATACTTCTATTCACTTTCAATACACTTAGCTTTATACTCAATGTTAGCATTCATTATGCTATCAATCACCATTATTTCTAACAACTTGACATCATAAGCAGTCTTGCAGAAGGGAAGCATGTACTCTACAACTAATAGTGATGATGGATTACCTGTGCAATTAGTTGAATTATAAAATCTATAAGAAGTTTAGATTCTTTGTTGAACATGCCTTGCCAAAGCTTGTCCACCACACGTTGTGTGAAATAGAACACATTGTTCACCAATACCTGGTAGCTTCCTCCGCTGGTAATAGGCAGAGATGCGTCTTCCCCTAAATTCCAGCAGGGAAAGAAGTCTAAGAAAATTGGTGTCTACTAGCATGCAAATAGATTCTCAAAGACATCAGGCTAAAGAAAACAAATGTATCTACAGCACTGAAGAAATAGGACCACAAGCGCTAATGTACTATTTTAGGGATGTTTATGGCCACAAGTCAGAATAATTACTGGAAGAAACAGTTCAGCCAGACTCTTGTCTGTGGCAGATAAAATGTGGTGGGTCAAGACCCTCTGTGAGGTCTCCTATGCTTAAAGACCATCTGTTATAAGCAAAGAGACCATCAACTTAGTGGCCAGTGGTGGTACAACTCCACATGGAGGAAAACTAAGTCAGTTTACCAGCTACAAATGGCTCTGCGTACATAATAGAGTGAAGACAACCATTCACCAAAACCCGTTGTTCTGGGGCGTACCTTTAATAACAATGCATTAGACAGGAAGATCAGGAAAATTGTGACAATCAAGGGGCCTGTGATCTGCCTCCCTAAGGCAACCCTACTGTCCTCTGTTTACATGTGGTAAAACACATGCTACTTCAAGATACTTTTCCAGCCCCTTTCTTCTTTTTTTTTTTTTTGCAGAACCAGGGATAGAACTCAGGCCCTTGCACTTGTCAGGAAAGCGCTTATTCCATTGAGCCATCTCTCCCACCTCTAGCCCTTTCTTCTACCTTGAATTCTCTCCAAGCCCCAGCTCTTCTGCAGAGATGCTGTAGATTCCACTAAACATGGCTATTATTTCTTAACTTGTCATATTAAGCAAAACTTTATTTTTATCTTTATGTTGTATGGTTGATTTCAACCAACAATGAACAGGTTTGCACCTGGCTTTGAGGGTACACAGTTATATGTTAAGACAACAACGATTTTCTGGCAAATTTATTTTGTCTTTTTGATACAGGGTCTCCTTATGCAGTTCAGGCTTGTCTTGAGCTCACTTTACGGCCCAGGCTGGTCTTCAACTTGCAACCACCTTTTTGCCTCAGCCTCCTGAGTGCTGGGATTACAGGCGTGTGCCACCCCTGGCCAATTTATTTTGGAAAAAAAAAATAATTTAATATAAGAGATCCTATGATTCATATTTTCAGTGGGGAATACATAAATGAAGCCATTATTTTTTTCTCAATAATTCTAAGTTTACTTATGTAAATAGTGGCTCCATTATAAATGTATAAAATTCTGCATCTTTTTGTAACTAGATACCAATGTACTGAAAAAATATACTTGTGTCTTTTGGCCTTATTTGTGGACCAGCCTTTACACCATAGAAACGAGGCAGAGTTACCCAATAACACATCAGCTGCAAGCAGGTGGTCCATCACACCGTCCAAAATGTAAGTCTGAAATTCTTTCTGCTGAGTTCTTGTTGATCTTTCAGGGGAAGCCTGAACCAATAAAAATTGCAATTAGAGACAGAATTAACTAGAAAAAGACAGAAGTTTGAAGATATTTATACTATGAAATGTATATAAAAATGAAAAAAGTCCTAATAGTAAACTTTTAAAAATTTAACACAAGAGATAGTGTATATGGTTATAGTCTTTCTCTTATTTTTCTGGCCATAGAACTTTTAAAAAAATTAGGCAGATACATCTTCTTTAAATCTATTCTTCCAGAAACACTATTCTAAACTTTATAAGTATTTAATAAATATTTGATAATCTATTAGACCTCACTTCTATAAGAGATCTGGCAGTTCATAATAAAATACACACAAAATCAGAAAGACATTTAAAGAAACATAAAGCTCAAGATTACGATAATTGAGGAAGGTGTTAGAGGGATAGGAATCATTTATAACACATTCACTAAGCGTGGAATTAAGCTTCAAGCCTCACAGGTGTCAAAACAGAAACGAAGTATGGTTTACAAAGCTTTTGATAACCCCAAAAGGAAGTATATTAAACTGCCAGCAGGGATACAGGCTTTCCTTCGAGTCAGAAGACCACAAGCAGCCCTGTACGTGCCATCTTTGGCAACAACTTTACAGAAATTAGATGGTTTTAAGTTATTTTGCATAGCTGAGGGCATGGAGTTATGCAACATCCTCTGAGAGTGTCTACTCGTGCTTGGGGAAGACAATGAGCTGGCTACTACTGTTTGCCTAGCAAACCTGGTGAGCAACGATAACATCCGGGGAACACAGGGCAGGAAGGGGAGACTCTTTCCCATCCTCAGCAGTTTCAGCAAGACAGAGAAGTTGCATGTAGAACACATCAATGAATGATAAAGAGTGTTCTCGCTTAAAAAGACATATTGCTGGACCTGGAGGCACACGCACACAGTCCCATGGATTGAGAAAGTGGAAGCAGGAGGACTGCATGTTCAGAGGTAGGCTGGGCAGCTGGGTGAGACCCTGCCTCAGAATAATAAGGGCCAGATGTGTAGCCAAGAGCAGAGTGTGTATGGTGTGTGTGAGGTCCAAGGTTCAAACCCTAGGACAGGGTGGGGCAGAAGGAGGGAGTCAGACCTACAGACTGTTTAGATAAAGGAGATCATTTATTTCTTTATTGTTTTTTTTTGTTTTGTTTTTTGGTACTGGGAATCAAACTCAGGACCTTGTGCTTGCCAGGCAGGGGATTTGCTGCTGCACTGTATCCCGGGCCCTAAGGAGATTTTTTTTTCTTGTTTTGCTGGCTCATGTTTATTCAGGTTCTTTTAAGTTTGAACAACACCATCAGTGAACATAGCCACTCCCCCATAGCTGCCACAGCCATGTGCTTTACGTCTAGGTGCAGCTCTGCCTTCCTACACACGCCCTTTCCCAACTGTGTTGGCGTCGTCCTCTTGCTGCCATTCCAGTTCTCAAGGAGCGCCTCGCAGCTTCCCGCCTGTGTTATGATACTGAGGTCTCTCTCTCCTTAGAGGCTTTCAGATATTTTGAACGGGACAAGCTCTCCTGGGTATGCTTTTGAACTCTCCAGCATGGATTATTTTCCTGCCAATGTTTTTCAACAGTGTGGTCACTGCATGCTTAGCATGTCTGGGGCCTAAATTGCATCAGTGACTTCCCTTTTTAAATGTTTTTTTAAAGAGAATATAAAATGGCAAAAAAAAAAAAAAAAAAAAAAAAAAA